AACCCTCCGCCACCCTGAAGAGGGTATAGAGCTGGTCCAGTGTTCCACGGCCAGGACGAAAACCGCATTGTTCCTCCTGAATCTGAGGTTCGACTATCGGTCGAATTCTCCTCTCCAGTACCCTGGCATAGACTTAAACCCCCAGTTCTATGAAATAATATGCTGTACATCATTAATAACAAAACTGTTCATTTTATATAAAAATTTGTAAAAATGAGACACATAGTGCTTTTTGGTGGCGCTCCTTTAATACCGACATGCATCACATTTAGACTCGGGGTGGCACCAAGGGTGGCCGTTCAGATTCTAGGGTTACCGGTGCCACCACTGACCACGCACATGTTGATACAATACAATACCACAAAAGGTAATAATTTATTGTTTTTTGTGCAATAGGCAAGTACAAATATGATTTCTATGCATAGTTAAATGTTTCTATTGGTTATTAAGACAAACAAAAAAAGGAGTCTTGTCTTGGCCCTGAGATGACAAATTACAGAAAACACACAGCTTGGAAAAATATCACGTGACATACCCTGCAGTCCTTTTTGAACTGCTTTAAATATGATGCTCTTGGACATCTTCTCTCAAACAGTTGTAGTCTCACTATTTTTTTTTAATAATACAGCAAGACACCAGAAAGGTATGAAATTTATTTATTCCCAGCACATGTGGCTGTGTACATGTCCAGCATACGATACTGTGCACATGAAAAGCATCATCATGGACATTAGACTGCACATGAACAGTGGTCACTGCTCCTGTTCACACTCTCTCACAGCTATTCAGTCATACAGGCCATCAGGGGACCAAAGCTGCTCTCTAGAGTTTGCCTGACTTGGTTTCAACTTCATCTATCACTTTATTGCTCACTAATTTATGAGTCGATGAACAGTTAACTGTGCTGTTACTTGTGTTCTTGTAAACGCCACAAGAGCTACAGTCCTGGCTCTGCCATGTGGTGAGACAAAAACTGTTTTTTAGTCCTGACAGTTTTTGTTCTCCTCCTCCTCAGACAGATAAAGAAGAGGGTGTGGACTAGTGACTAGACATCAAACTTCAACTTTGTGATGTTTCAGTGCAGGTTTGGTCTCTATTCAATTCCTCCTTCCCTTCCCCGTCTTCCACATGCTCTTTACTAAACACAGCTAAACACAGTTTCATCATACCAACAGGAAGAATTTATAACTACTGATATTATTTTCTTTGCAAGAATGAAAAATTGTACACATGCACACACACATTCTGACACTTAGAGGCGTGCAAGTGGTGTGCACTTCAAGACTGCCAGACATCGTGTACCAAAATGAAGGGGATCAACTAAACCGAAAGCAACTCCCAGGACCTGTGTGAGGTTTCCTGTCACTTTTCAAAGTTAAGGGCACTCAAAATACATGACCTGTACCTTCCTGTGTGCAGCTACATTAAAAACACGATTTTGACAATGGATGTGGAGCTGTTGTGATTTTCTAGTCTACAGGAGAAGACAACTGGAACCAGGCACCGATGCAGTTCTACCAGCCTGATGTGTGACAGGTTGTTTCCTGCAGAGCAGATCTGGGAATGGAGGATTTCTTACATTGTACATGCAGCACACAAGCAGCTCCACTAGATAAGATTTTCATTCGCCTGACCAGTTCCGTTAATGCTGATAATGACCAAAAAGTACAGAGCCTAGCAGGCTTAAAAAAACAAACAAACAAACAAACAAAAGAACTGAAAGCCTATCTTAAACCCGTTTGGTCCACATTACAGTAGGTTTTTGAATAGGCATTACTGCACTGTGTGTCAGTCTTCTACAGGGGTCTGTTCCTTGTTTTCTGCACATGGACAGCATGACCCAGGAGGCCAGGAGACAAACCCTACTTTTCTAAACCAGCATCAAAGTCAGCACAGAAAGCAGAGGAGTCGAGGACAAAAAGCCAATATGGCACCCGAAAGAAGTAAATTCCATGACAGTAACAGAAACATCAGATCCATAAATAAAGAATCAACTAAAAACAGTAAAAGCCAAACACAACATACATGAAGAAAGCTGAGCGTGACATGTCAACAGACATGGAAGTCAAAAATCAAACAGGACGACACTGTGTGACAAAAGTTAATAAAATCAAGACAGACAAAATCCAAGAAAAAAAAAAAAAATGATGTTAGAGTCAACATCCACAGATGTAGCCTCTAGCCTGGAGATTTCAGGGGGTACTAGGCTCAGCTGATTAATAAATGGTTTATTCAGACAACCTGGAGAGGATGTTAAACAAGCAGAATAAGTTCTCCTTTAAGCATGTTGGTATGTTGAGATCACATGCTGTTCAGCAGTATGTTATCAAATACTGGCCTAGAGCTGGCTGTGTGTTTTGTGTTAGGAGGGCAACGAGCAAAAGGAAACTGCTTTTTCCTCCTCCTGCTGGCCAGATCAGCACTGTCCCCTCTCTCCTGGAGCCTCTCCCCTTCCTTCTCTACACAAAAGCCATATAAAAAGACAAAAATAAAAATAAAATTAAAATCAAAACACACAGACGATCATCTTTCCCCTAGCGCCGTATCTCCCCAGTCTCTCCTCTTTAAACTAAACTCCATCATTAATAGCGTTTTCAATATGAAACAGTGGACACACCCATGTCAGATTCTAACATTTACATGGCTTCAACACAGTCTCTCTGCTTTCCATTGAGTGATCCTTTAGCGAGAGAGGGGGAGGCAGTAAAAGGAAAGAGTAGCGGAGGGGAAAGAGGGACAGAGGGAGGCATCTGCTCCAAAACAGAGGGTGGAGTATTAGTGATGCCATCTGTCCTCATCACTACTTCAGGATTAGATGGAGTCCTTCACCCAGTTCATCTGGATGGGAAAGAAATGTGAGAAGTACATGTAATCCTTGTCAATTAAGAATCTTCTGAGCGTTGTTTCATACCAAAGTATAATGCTATGAATTCACCTTTGACAGTGCTGATCAAAAAACAGCTCTCATCAGCAAAATTGTAAACCATCTGGAGAAAAAACAGACTTGTAAATGTTGCAGGTCATTTAACATATCAATGTGTAGAAAAACTGCAAGATAACATCCACACACCAAAGTCTCATCTGGATCCAAGGAATATTTGAGAAGTGGTGATCCAGAATATTCACATTCATGGAAAACTAGCTACTGTGAGACAACTAATAATGCTACAGATTTGGAACCAAGATCAAATTCTAGCTGAAACTCTGCTGACTCAGTAGAGGGTCATAGTCCCAATCCAGTAATTTGTTTTCCTATTTACTCTGCCTTCATTTTTCCATTTAAATGAAGTCTGGCATTTTCCAAACTACACCAACACTAATGAGCATCTAAACTAAACACCAAGTGAAATTTATAAAATGCTTAAAACACCCTTCCAAACACTGCATATGCCAAAAGCTAAGTTATACATCAAAAGTTATACCTTCCCTTTCAATAAAGAGCCCTCCATAGCTGAGAGTGTGATACTCCAAACTGCTAATGTAGACAAACAGTAAGGCAAAGGGCCTGTATATGTGTGTGTGTGTGTGTCAGTACCTGGTCACTAAGCAGAATGTGTATGCCTGTAGGACCCTGTCTGTACACCTGGTTGATCTTTCCCAGTGGAAGGCCGCACACGGACGCCATCTTGCAGATTAGTTCTGCAGCCGTCAACTCCTCTAGGTATAGAGCATGGTACACTGCGCAGGAGCAGGTTTTAAATTCAGGACATTCACAAGTCTTTTCTGTTCATTGTACCAAGGACTAATGAGTTACATGCTGTTACACACAGTTTCAATCAGTACCATGTAAACTAGAGGAGACGCTGTGTTCTCCATTTTCATTGCTGCCAGGTCTCTCCAGCAGGGGGCTCTCCTGAGGGGACTCCTGACAGACGTACACAGTCAACCTGGGACGCACAGACCTACACACACAAAATAAAAATAAAAAAACGTGTTTTCAAAGAAACAAACAAACAAATTAACCCTGGAACTTTGTTGTATTTGCTGGTATACAACCACTGAAAGTGACACACACACACACACACACACACACACACACACACACACACACACACACACACACCTGGATTTAAGTGCATTGAAGAGTCTGATTCCATCTGCTGGCCCACAGATCTGGACCAGGTCATCCCGGGTTAGCTTCAACAAATCAGAACCTGCACACAAAGAAGGAGCAATCACTTGTACTGCATCTGGTATCACTCCACGTACACTTTATTGTGTGTGTGTGTGTGTGTGTGTGTGGGTGGGATTGTGCATTTACCTGAGAAGTTAGAGAAGAGCCGTGTATAGGAGCTGAAGCGATTTTTCAGCAGCCACTTCTGTGTGTCCTGTATGGACGCCGTGGGGCTCAACTGCTGTAGAGAAGGACACAGACATGTCAATATACTTCTACACCTGGATCCGAGTTCAACTTGACCCCCTCATTCAGGCCATAGCATGCGATTCATATCATTTTGATACTGATCAAACTATTCTGCGGCCCCAGTCGCGCTGTGGATGGGGGCACTGTCATCCTGGAGGAGACCCCTCATTTATATTTTTTTTGTCACCTGTCTGTACGTCTTCAGCGAAAAAACCATGTCTTTCATTAAGTTCTCCTCCTGTTCATACATGCGTGTAAAGTGCAGGCTAACCTCTGAATTTCCATGGCTGCCAGGCTCTGCCTGGTGATTGGGAGAGGACGAGTCGCTAGAAAACAAGAGAAGACAGTTATAAGCAGTGAGGGCAACACAGACCACATTCAAAAGGCCAAATGTGAACGAGAACACACACAGTTACCTGTCTGGTACTGAGGAGGCTGAGTAGGTGGACAGTGGTGTGGAGGCAAAGGAGGGACTAGCTGCCTGGCTGGTGCTGAGGTAGGCATTGTCTGGCCATGGGGAGCACTGAGAAAAGACAACTACATCTAATAAATACTCACTTATACCACAGCCTCATAAAAACGACTTAGTAGGTTAATTTACATCAACTACTCAGAGACTAGAACTTAAGGTCAGTTCATATTTTCTGTTTGTCGCATGCAGGACAAAAACTTGTGTCTGTGCGGACTGTCTGCTCAGCAAAAAGCAATGGCAACCAGACTGTGGGCGTATGCAGACAGATGGTTGAAGTATGAACAAAGAACATGCACGTGTCCCTCATCTGTGTCCATGTCTGCGCAAGGATATGTGGAAAGTATGAACTGGCCTTTAGGGGATGAGGAAAAGTCAAGTGTATATTAGGAGTTTAGCTCCGTGGTACAGCCACCCCACCCGATATCAAATGCATGGCAGTGTAGCTGAGGGTCTAATGTCTACAAAGTTCAGACTACTAACAGCCAGACATTGAAAAGAGGGCAGTGATGGGTGTGAGGAGCAGAGAGTGGGGTTCTTACACTGCCTCTCTTGGCCAAGGAGTCACCACAATCAGCGGGAAGTGTCCGCTTGCTGGACTTTTTCAGCTCGTGGTCACCCGCGTCCTCTATGATGGGTTCAAGCCTCGTCTACTCGTGGACACACAGAATTGGTCAGGCACACAGCGACCAACACACACACACAAATACAACCAGTCATCCAAGAAACACACCAACGCTGACTGAAATGTTATTGCAGCATACAAGTGCATAGAATGTACAGTTACTCTAATATAATAACATAGTCTTATTGTAAAGGACCAGGTCTTTTGTGTAAAACACCAGTATGATCCTTTATCTCAAATTTGGCTGTGTGTTGGATTGCTTGGATGCACACATTTTAAGATGGATAACCTCCCCAAATAAAAATTTTAACTGCATGCTTGTTATTACCATAGCCTTGTTAGTGCTAAAGCCACGCAGCTAAAAAAAAACTGACAGGTCATAGCAGCTGCTTACTGACCTCTGACAGGATAGTGGTATCATAAGAAGGCTGGTACTTTTCCTTCTCTTGAGCAGTGCGTTTCTCCATCTTCTCCCTGTCCGTCTTTTGTTTACGGTCCGCCCCCTTTGGCTAAGCAGGAAGAAGAGAAGACAAGCCCAGAAATGGAAATCAGATTTATTCATTTAGAAAAATAAACAAAAAGAAACCAGAACTTATTTACTGTGAGATGGTGAAAATATCAACATAATTCCAGTCAGTGGAAACACGCCCCCCATGAGAGACTGAGGACATACCTTAAAGACTTTGATTTGGCAGGAGGCCGAATGGAGGTGCTCTGTGTACTCTCCACTGTCTCCCTGGGCGAACGTGTCAATCTGGATTCTGAAGGGGACGCCCTTCTCCCCACCGTGTTTCCTGGGAGTGAACTCTGTGCTGATGCAGTGCACCTAAAGACAGCAGGAAAGACCAGGGTATGAGTGCCATCAAAACATGTGCCTGATGTGGAAATCTGGCAGCACGCCCAAGAGACAGTACAAAAGAGAAATGGTATGTCTGTCATTTGTGTGTGTGAGTGAGGATGTGGGTTACCTGCACAAAAACAGAAGTTCTTTTGTTCATGTCCCACAGGAACTCTGCAGCATTGAGCTGGGAGGGGTGAGTCTTTGGCTCCACAATGCCCACTGACATGGGGATATCTATCTCATACAAAACACACACAGATATTTGAACTCTCAGACACACATGGGACAGCTCAAGTAAACATTTCTCGGCAGGCATCATTACCAATGTCAAGGAGACGGTCACCAGGACGATTCCACTTCCAGCCCTCCAGCTGCTGGTGCTCTGTGTACTGCAGCCGGCGGTCATGAAACACCACTCGCACTATGCTCTGCAGACAAACACACCATGTTAGGTATAAAGTGTTCTTGCTGTAAGAGGAAAAAGTCTGTCTTCCGGCTCTGAAGATCCTCTCACCTTCACCATCTTGTTATTGAGTTCTGGGAACTCCCCTGCGGTCCTGTTGTCCAACATACGCACCTCATAGGACTGGCCTGACAGAGAGGGAGAACACATAATCACAAGCAAACAAGAAACAAAAGTACTGTTTTGTATATAATCCCTGTGCTGTGAGGCACTGTTAAACTGGCTTTTGGAAGAACATAGACGCCATTTTGGCCTTTCCAGGCCAAAATGATGTCCAGTCATGGAAGACTAGAGTCTCACTGTCTGGATATTCTTATTGTAAACTCTTCTAGCTGGAATTTGTTATTCAGTGAAGAGACTATGACCTTGTTCTCATTGCAGTTCAGTATAATGGGTTGTTGGGGGAAGAAATAGTTTCCATGCCGTTTCTCATGTGTAGAGTCTGTTTCAGGATCCAGAAGATAAATAAATTTAAGACAAAAGAGACTAAACAGTTTTTATTCATCAGGCTCAACGTCTATTTTATTGCTCTTTATGATGACTTAAGAGCAAAACATCCGTCACCTCTCCTGACTTCTGCTCAGATGATTAGTAGAAGCCGAGACAAAGGTCTTTATTTGCAGTGTACTGAATCATGTAGGAAGTCATGTTCACTTGTGCCAAATGTTTCACCAGTGCACCATTATATCTGGTGTCTTAGCCGATAATGAACAACATGATATGCTAGACATTATGCAGCTTTACATTACGGATGACCACAGTATCTTTAAAACAGCCTGCCCAGCATTTTGAACAATCGGCAACGAATGTACTAGGTGCAATGTGCTACCGGCAGAGTGGTCGCTGCACTAGCAGCTCAGGAGAAATTCAAACCGGGCTCCATAATTGACAGCTTCAGTAAAACAAGTCAGTGTGTGTTGCTGCTTATGTAACACAGTCAACAGCAAACTAGTGGTGTTGTGTAGAAGAAAAGGAGAGGCTGCCATTCGGTCAGCAAAGGTTCTGTTTTATGGTAATTGTACTACTGTGTTACAATTTCATGTGGTAAGTATTTATTGATGTTAAAAGATGGGCGTGAGTCACCCTGGAGGAGAAAGAAATGGATCCTCTATGAACAAACCACATCCGGTATAGAAGTCTGTTTGTGCGGTTTTGGTAGGCGAAGTAGTTCAAGTACTTTACGAAAAAGAGACCAGAACAAAATCAGGCACATCAACTACAACCAAGATCTCCTCTGAGATGCATCTACTGTACTACTGTACGTGTCCCACCTTGGTTGAGGTAAGTGAGCGTCTCGTCGTGCAACTTGACAGCAGGCGAGGTGGCGGTGCACAGCACATACTGGAATGGGGGGTTTTTGGTCTCTTTTTCAGGGGGAAGGCTGGAGTCCTCCTGCTTAAAGATGGGCAGAGCCAGCACGTCGCTGAGACAGACAGGTGAGAAAGAGGAAAGACACACGAAAAGAAAGTCAGCAAACACATGAATGACAGTTACAAGCTCTCCATTCAGAGTTTGACTGGCGTGTGTTCCTTGTTTATGGCCTTTCAGTATTTTTCCAACGGCCTTTTTGTCTAAAGTTGCTAGAATCGACTTAAAGTTTTAAACTTTTATTAAAAACCCTCAGGGATGCATCTAACAAAGAGAACCTCCACCTTGGCTCCTCTTGACTGAAATGTTCTCATTTCCTCACTTTGCAATTATCTCTAAAACTAATTTAAAAAAACCCTGATAGTTGCCTTTTAAACTGTTGCAGTTTTGGTAGAACAATATTTCACCTCCTCATAGCATGGAACTAATAAATGGGCTTGCTTCTTTTAGAGTAAGTGACAAAAGCTTTCCATCGATCAAATGACTCTTATTACGTATGCCTGAGGCCACAGAGGAATAAATGAGCAAAACCAGCCAGAGATAGCACTTGCTGACATACACTATCGCTCACATTTGGCAGCCACCGTAGACAACCCCACCCGCCCTCGACTCACCGTGACAAATGCAACGCAAGTGTCAACGAGTTCGCAATGGACAAGAGTATGCATGCGGGTAGATCTCAGTGCTTGTGCAGATGAGCGCTCCTATCCATGCAAAGAAAGGTAGATCATGTCACAATGCTTTATAAAAACTAGACACATTCCTGCAGGACCTCCCACCAAAACACAAACAGCAGTCTGCCAGATTTCTCAAGCCGATAATGACTTTATATTGATAATTTGCTTGTGTGTCTTCTCTACTCAGACGGTCCCAGCCTGGGTGCTACAGCCCCGTTACGTCAAGCTGTCCACATCTACTTCCTGAAATCTGAGGACTTGGCTCCAATCAAACACACCGAGACATTCTGTTCCTACCAACTGCTGCCCCGCAGCCCAGCCCAGCACCACAGATAGCACTAGCCCTGGAGACAGCAACACCACAAACACACACACTGTTTTTACTCATTCACACGCAACCCATCACTGGAGTAGCAGTAAACCTGCTTACTCTCATACGAGCCTGGCAAACACCTGCATCACACACACACAGATAAACATGCGCTAAAAGCGGACGGAGGAGGAAGGTGCTGATAAGACACACGCATGTATTGGAGGCCTTTGGCCTTTGTCACACAAACACCATCAACTCTCATAACCTATGACATCATACAGTGCAGACATATCAGGAGTTACTATTTAAACAGGTGATTTACAACAAAACAGCTTTGATGCCAACGTCCTTGTTTAAACACAATGCCTTATCTCCCTGTTTTTTAGGTGGAAAACACCGTGAAGTTAAAGAAAAGTTGGCGTGAAACCATAAAAAAAACTGAGCTTAAAGACTCACACCCATTGTTTTGTAAATTCTCTCTGTAGCAGGGAAATATTGGACAACATACCTATTATCATTTCAAAACAAGGTGTTCAGATGTGCCCCAAGCCGAAGGAGAGAGAAAAGATGAGCTGAACTTCTGACACACACACACACACACCCAGGTCAAGTAACTTTAGTTTTAGAAACTTTTCTAATCATACAGATTAAAATCAGACCCATCACTCCAGACACAATTTGCAAACTCGATTCCAAGCACATCTAGTAAGCAAAAGGCTTGCCAGTCCGAGGGGCCAAGCCAAGGCCGTCCTGCACATCCTCAGTGTTATCTTGAAACATGCTGGATGTCTTCATGGCACATGTACACACACACACACACACGCACGCTCGCACAACGTAATTTGTACAACAGGGTGAACTGACATAATGTTTGCACTGTCAGGGACAAAGACGAAGTGTGGTTGCTTTGCTTTTGTGTGGGTTCCACAAATTAATCTTCGATGCTGACCATGGCACACTGCAATAACTGCCCAACTCCAAATCCCAAAACAAAGAAAAGCCATCACTGCCTGTACAAAGGAAATAACACATACAGGAGGGGGGATGGGTTTGTAAGGTTAACACTTCAAGACAGGATGTCTTGTTCTTTCTAAGTACCCAGTAAAGTGCAAGAAAGCTGAGGACTGGCATGTTGACTCCGTCTCTAACCTCATGCTGTAGGCTCCAGCCCCCAGCTCCTGCCCTATGCCGGACAGGCTGGCATCGAAGTCGTGCACCAGCCCCGACTCGATGGTGGCGTCGTCCATCTTTAGCACCCAGGCCATCGATCCCAGATCCTTGTCCTCGGCTTCTACTCGGAGGGCCGCCAGCTTGCTTCAGGTACGATTGGTCGGCTAGAGAGGAAGGGGGCTCTGCAGATTCTGAGACGCCGTAAGAGGAAAGTTATGCTGCTAGCCCGTTTGCAGCTCTTTGGCAAGCTGGGCAGGCGAACTGGTAGCTTTCCACAGGGAATGGATATATCGCCATATTTCCAATCGGGGTATATATATTGGGCTTTTTTCACACAGCGCGATGCTCCCCAACTGGCAGACAGTCTGAAAGTAACAATAAGTTAGAATCCACTCAGCTAGCAATTATTAATCGTGACTGAAGATGCGAGTCGATTGTGAACATGCTAGCATTAGCAAACAGCTAGCTAGCTAGCTTTACAAAGACAACTTAAGCAGGCTAGCGTGAATTCAGCAGCCCCGTTGTTACCGCAAGCACGGTCCCCAAGCAGGTTAGCCAACGTTAGCTCAACAAAATGCAACAAACAGAGAATATTATATTGTTTTAATCCACACACCGCATCCCACGCAACGTCTGCACAGCTGTTGCTATCAGGCTAACTAGCATCAACTTCACTTGCTTTGAATCAACTGAGTGATGTCCGGTGACCTAAGAGCAGCTCTCATCTGGCGCTCCCTGTACCATCCCAGCCAGCTCTACTCTTCTCATCGCGGCCTAGGAATCACCGCAGAGGCTCCCAGTCTTTGGATTGCAGTCCTTGAACCATCCACAGTGCAGCGGTTGACACAAACCCAGACATCAACATGGCTCCTTGTCAGCCTCCACCACTGCCACCACCAGCCTCAGGAAGGATGCCAGGACAGAAAACAGCCAATCAGAGGCCGCCTTCTGTGCCCAGCGCGGAGGCGCTAGCCAATCAGAGGCCTCCGAGCTGTCGTCATTGTGTCCAACTGTAGTTGTGCTCTGCCTCCCAAAAACCACATCTACAAAGTAATAACTGTCAACAAATGTCCACTGGGAACGTAGTAATAATATAGAAAACCATAACCAAATATGTTATTACACACACAAGAAGCAACCAATAAACATAGTTATTAACATGTAATACAGAGTTCGAACTGTGGGGCCATACGTTAACCACAGCACACGTCATTTTCAGGTGTGCGAGAGACACACCGTGTGTACCTGCTTCCGCCGTGTCTCTGTGCAGAGGACTGGAAGTTTTCAGTGTAGGGCTGCCAGAACAACATCGTGCCCACAGCAGCTGTGGCTACAACACGGCTCAGTCCTGCGGCAAATAAACACGACTCAGCCCGATACCGAGAGGGTCCAAACAAGGGCTCATGTTTGATCCAGGTCAGGGGTGAACAGGAGTCCAGTGAAGAGAAGCTGTTTGCAGGCTTGCTGTGTGCGTTCTCTTGTCAGCAATTAGCCACCCTGGCGCACTGGCAAGGCAAGTGGCTGGCGATGCTCTTTTGAGCAAGGTTCACGCGCTATTTTGGCCCAAGGGGGGAAGACCCGCCTTATAACTTAATTCATGTCCGTGCGAGTAAACACAGTAAAGATACACCACCATAACAAGTACTACAGATGCTTTATCAGCTGCAACAGAAACATGATACTTAATTATATATAAGCAGCGGTGGAAAGTAGGCTGTTTACTCTAGTACTATCTTTAAGTAGCCTACTGTTTTGGGGTATTGTACTTTACTGTCATATTATACTTTATGCTCAGAATCAGATTAATAAATAAAAATTCAGTACAGTCCTATTATTTTATTGATGTCTATGGGAAATTCACATGCAAGATACCCAGCAGTACTTTCTGAGCATTAAGTAAAGGATCCAAGTATTTCTTCCATATACTCTATATACATACACACACACACACCATTGAGTAGGGCACATATTTTATACACTGTTTTGCATCAGAAATAGAATCTGCAAAGTAACTGGTAATTATAACATTTAAATAAATACAGAGGGGCAAAGCCCAATATTTCTCTGTAAAAATGTAAGTGCACTGGGCTACAATCCAACACGTTTTATGGAAGTCCTGTCAAGTACAAGCCTCCTCCTCTACTCACATACAAGTGATAATTTGCCTAAGTAGGGAATTGTTTGGAGGACAGAGTATTACCTTCAGGGCTGCAGACACATCAGAGGGTTTTACAGGTCAGACTGATAGTTTGTCTGGGAACCTCTCTAGCACCTAGATTTACAGCCTACCAACACAACTGATGCCTACATGAAATTTAGTACCCATTTCTCAAATAGCTACAGTATGTTGAATGAGACTTTTTTTTTTTTTTTTTTTACTACTGTTTTGGTTTAACAAGTACATACTGTGCACACTGTCTCTGATCTAAAGATTAAGAACACAGAATTAACCCAACTCTACCCCTAATCACAGTTTATGGACATGGGGATTAAGCTGTTAGAGGCATTTTTTCTGTCACTTCATTTAAATGTTTTTTTTTTTTTTTTTAAGTTCCCCAGTATATAACAAAGAAAGAGTTGGACAAATCAGAAAACCATTACATGTAACATTTCTTTCAGCTATCTTTCTTCATCTGGTGACCCCTAAAATTGAGCTTGGATTACTGCCTCAGGGCTTTCCATAGGTTGGAAAGTGCTAAGTAAAATTTAAAAACCCGTGTGCACCAAAGTACAGCTGTTGTAAAAGACTCATAAAAAAAGGAATCATTGCATTTCCATCAGCTCTGATCGATGTTTTATTTGAATTGACGTATATTTAATGTACACACTGGACATCTTTAGAAGATACCACTGATATTAGGTCTGTTAGACATATGTAGTTTTTTTTTCTTAAGCCATGGAAGTCTTTCTTTGTAAAAATCAACCGCATCAGGGCTTATTATGATCTGTACAAGTTCTTTATTTTATTGTAAGCACAGCTTTGAAAATACACAGAAGAAACACAACAGTGAAAACTAGAATGTTACAATAAGAGCAAGGAGAAGACATGAAGAGGGGCAGAGAAAAGGTCGACTTTTTTCAGAGCTGTAAATAATACATTTCTACAAATTCTCAGAGAAAAAAAAAACAAGCATGTTAGAAAGACTACAGCACGCACAACAGAGAGAAATAAAAATGAGGATGGGCACAGGTGCGCATGTGCACCCCCCCAGGGGACTCTCCTAAATGACAACGTTACTGGATATTTCATTTTAATATCATATATAGATAAATATCCGCTATGCGATAAGCCATGTCCTGTCATATTTCATGTAGTAAGCAGCACACACCTATCTCCCCCCGTTGCCCAAAAGTAAGCTGATCCAAGAGGAACCGGGAGAAATGGAGGACACCATGGATTTATCTGAAAGGGGTGGATATCATTCAATTTAAAAACCCAGTCACGCTACTGACAGTCAATAGGATGCCGATAAAAGTTTTTTTTTATTTTTTTTTAATTTAGACTCATGCATAGCCAAGCACATAACACCTCCTTTGCTATGGGGTCTGCCTACACACTGTATTTGCTTTGAGCGTGACCCTCTGACTCGCGTTAGTGCCGTGCAGGATTGGTCGGTCGTACCTTTTCGGCTCCTCAGCACCTTCTTCAAAGAGAGAACATGTGTTTTCATGTGTGAGAGAAAGAGAAAACTCCAGACTTTAAAAACTGCTGCTGTAAAATCTCATTGTGTTAAACAAAACCCAAACTATGACACAATGGAAATGTACATTATTGTCTACCTGGCCCCAGTTACTCACTGTTCAAGAAAGACAAGACGCAACTGTTTGTTCATCTCAGCACTATTTGATGAACATTACCCTCCAAAAGAAAGGAGAACCATGCAGATGCACCACTTACCATTGACACCAAGATGTTGTTTAGAAGGGATATTGGTGTGTTTGAAACAAAAAGGACGGATATTTTCTATCTTCATCCTTAACTCATTAGTGAAAAACCTGGATGGACTATGTGACTGCATGAGTGTGTTTAATGCAAATTTAAGAGTCGAGTCTGACAGGGTGGATCCTCAATGATGCTCAGGAAAAATACAACACCCCTCAGCACCATAACTCCCGTCTTGAAGTGGAGCATGAGGTCTGTGTGTACCTGCGTGTGCGCGTCAATGCTGTCCAGAGTGCAAGTGTACATGTGGATGTGTATTTTGTTCTCGGGCTGTGTAGGTGTGAGCTCTTGAACAGATGTTTGTGTTTGGTGGGCAGAGTTGCAGTTCTGTGGGTGCCCTGTGGGAGGGCGCTGTCTCTCCTATAGGCCCTCAGCTGGGGGTTCGCTGCCGCTGGAGCCAGACTGGGCACGCTTGATATACAGATTCAACAGCTTCAGCTAAAGAGAAACAGAGCAGAGGATGGACATGTAAATTTGTGTCATATTCAGAAGTATCTTATGATGTTGGACTCGAACTTAAAACGACATGAATGGCTATGTAAAGAAAGATCTTGCACAGTAACATGACCAAGAAGCTACACATTTTTAAATCAGTTGGGTCAAGGTAAATCCAGTTTCCGCATGCTTTAAGGGTGGTCACCTTGCTGCTGGACAGTTGGCTGAGATGTGGTTTGAGGTCTTCTCCAATCACTGTATAAATTGCCACTAAGCAGAAGACACAGGCTTTCCTCACACTGCTCTCAGAGTTGTCATAACCCTGTTCAATCAGATACAACAAATTATAAACCTGCAGAGCCCTTTGTTTAGAACACAGTGAAAGTATTCATGTGTGTTGTGAGAGGGCAGGAGCTGGATTAGTTTTACACACTATGAAAAACATCAATACATTCAGGACAGCTAAACTTTACAGGAAATACAGAGAATGTGAACTTGCACCATGTTAAAATTTGGGTTAATGCGTCATGTTGGGAGGATCATGCTCTTTATCAATCATAGATATATACACTACATACATCTACAAGTTAAATAAAAAATACATACTATCCCATACAGCTATATACGGTAACGGATTCTTCAACTACATCCAATTTAGTGTCCAGTTTGAGCACAGAAACCAATTCATCTGCAGCGTTTGTGTTATCTGCCGACAGCTGCTAGCTAGTGTTAGCTCCTGAATATACCTTCATATTCTCAATACAAACAGCACCACCACAACAATCTTATTTTTAATATATACTGAACATGCTGCTGATGGTGGCTGAGCTCTGTATGCCTGTTACCTGTATGAGTCCTGGCACTATCTCGGGCAGCATGCTGATCAGGCCCTCTCTGGGAATCCTCTCTACCACCTTGGACTGCATCTTGATGGCAGCCAGGTTGATGGGGTAGTCAGCGGACTGAATGATAGGACACAACACCTTGATACACTGGTCTGGACTGATGGACAGTGCCAACATCGCTGCAGTCTCCTCTGCTGCTCGTATTACCTACACACACACAAACACATTATTAGTATAGATGCTACAAAATAAACTGGGCTCAGATCACACTTATGTGATCATGATCACTTTTAAGCAAGCTGATCGGTGTGTGTGCACATCTATGTACCTCCTTGTGAGGGTCTTTGTGTGCCTCCAGGGCCTTCATGATAGTGAGCTCTGCGTAGTTCTTGAACCTCCAGGGCTGCTTGCTGAGGATTTCCTTCAGCACTCGCAGAGCCAGTGTTCGGATCACGTGCTGAGAGAATGAAGACAATTCATGTTTTAAAAAAAAAAAGGAATTCGGCTTTGTGTGTGCACAGAATTTCCACAGGCTTGAATTGAGTGCGTGTACCTCTCTGTCGCCCATCGTCTCGAGCAGGAGCAGCAGGATGGTCTTGAAGTGTTCATCCCACACCTGCAAGATGTTTTCACGAATCAGCTTCAGCAATTCGCATAGTGCTGCCTTCCTCTCCTCAACACGCTCATTGTGATTGGACAGCTCCTTCAGCAGCTCAGCCACCAGTTCCGACTGGTCCAGACTGCTGTCTGCTCACAGACAGACAAGAGAGAAAAACCACGATACAATTACCATTACCAGGTATCATACGATTTGTTTTGTACAGTCAGAATGTGTTTGTGTACCGTCTGTGAGATGCTCAGAGTCGTCCAGGCTAGAATCTTTGTGGCTGTATTTGAAAGGAGAATCTGAGAAGTGCTCACGGGCTCCTCGCGGGCTGGAGGAAAGCAAAGGGGTGTTGAGAAGAGAAGTCTTGTTGTCCAGAGCCATGCGGCCGCCGTCCATCAGGTCTTTGCCATCAGTCCCACTACCACCCTGCAAGATATTAACATCTGATGTTAAGGAGACTTGGTCTTCCACACTTTGTAGCTTGGCTCATTTCTTTCAAACTGAAGAAAAAAACAAGTTAAACAACAAGTTAAGCAGATGAGTTTCAGTTCTGTCCATTATTGTACAACCAAACCAAAAAGTGCAAACCAAGTCACACAGGCTTACAGGAAAATCTCTAAAGTTTTGGTGGCTATCATCCTGTATCATCAGCCAGTGGAGGATAATTAAAACAAAAACCACTTTTACACTGCCCGTTCAAAGCGGGCAATACTGTTCTGTACAAAAGGAACCCAGCCAGCTGCCATGGGAGCAGGGGTCATTGTTGACCCTCCACAAGGCATAAAATTGGTCCAATTGTTCTGCCTCAGCCTTTGTGTAAAAGGGAAGAGGTGACTTGGGAGGTTGTGGGCAAAAGTGTGTAAAGTTTTGATGAACTGTTGCTCCTGCAACGTGCCATCAGCAGATCTAAATTTTACCAATGCTTTTTTTTATAGCTTGATTGACAAAAAGTGACATCACAGACAAACTAAAACAAGAGTTCACCTGGAACCCAAATCCACCTCTCAGTTTTACTGGCCAGAACACTTGGCTGGGGCTTGTTTTCTTGAGAGTTTATTTCTTCCTATATGGAACAAAGTCAGTCCTTGGGAAGGGTAACACACCATGAACCACCAGGTGAGGAAAAGAGCAGGGTGAAGAGGTTTAAGGTGCTCTTGTTGCTGTGTACTATTTACACTCAAACCACCGAGTGGTGGCCTGACGAGTCCAGTGTGCTGTAATTGGCAGGCTGATGTCATGTGGACTGGTTAGGTTTCACATGCATCTCCGGGGGAAAATGTCAGGAGGTCACGCCTTTGTAATAATGTACACCATGTCCATAAAAGGTGCTGGGGTGGTTGTGAGGGACTGCAATTAGACCTGGCATGACATCTGGAGTCATATTTGGACTGAACACTATTTTGATAAGCACTTGTGAAAAAATGTTGATAGAATCTTCTGAGTTTGAGTTTCAGCAGCTGGGCTCATAAACAATGAACCTGCTTTTATCAGTGGCTGTGGAGGATTAAAGTCACAGTCATCACGCCAACAGACACTTAATGTACACTTCCCACGCTACAGCAGGGAGTGGTGGAGCAGATCAGATGTCAGGGTCACATACAGTACATGTAGGTACTTTGTGTGTGATTAAGTCCTGAAAACATACACAGTAAAGCAACAAGACGATGGCTCAGTATTAAAACACTATCAAAAGCTTTGAGAGCACAGACTGTGCCCACAGCATCAATCAGGGTAGGGTGTAAAAAGTTTTCATACCAAAATTAAAGAATCATATTGTCGTCACACTTAAAAGGAAATTTCAGAATCATTGCACTGCAACAGCAACAGTAAGCAACTGTATTCATGAACCAGCACATGCAGTACACTGTACAACATGCCCTGTTGCACAGCAGTGATTGAACTACAGCATTACTCCGGTCTTGGAATTAAAATTTTGTGTTTGTATCAAATACAGGTTTCATTTTCACAGTATTATAAACAAACAATATTACAAATGCACTCAGTGACATTTCTTTGTATGTACATCTGCCCAACACCTACACTATTTTTGTCACAATGCCCTGTCAAAACAACTTGTTTTACAAAGTGTCAGTAAGCAAATGGCTGGCCACAATCATCTGTAAATGGTTCGCTTTTGTTCATCATGTCACTGTGTTTTGAGTAAGAAAATGACATCTCACATTAAATCCTATTTAAAGCCAAAGAAGCTGCTGATAATTTACAAAAATGGGACTTCCTTTCTTTAACAGGAGTATTTTAAACACCAGCAGTACAGCTCTACTACTTCCCTATCACCCACCTCCTCTCCCTCTCGTCGCTGGACTGGGTCGTTCATGTCCTCTTGGCTGCGGACACTGAAGTTCTGGATGGCCTCAGTGACACCTTTCAGAGAGCTGTAGATGTCCTCTGAGTTCATGTTCTCTGTGTCGTAGTCAAAAGCACTGGACACATACAGGACAGATCACCAAAAACTATAACTAAAGTATCCAGACTCTCTAGCTTGACAGCATTCTCTGTATTGTTATGTCCCGTGCATGACATGTACAACATTTCATGTGGTCTAACACAAGATGTGTGTCATATCATGTTTCTGATTGTCACAATTTTGGCTGTGATAAGGGGAAAAATATTTAAATAAACAAATACAATGACTGAAGTTATGTCAGAACTACAAGAGTTTTATACAAGAATAACTGTGCATCCTCCAGACTTGTTTTTACACTTAGAGAGACTGCAGTTAGAGAGGAAGAGAAGTCAAGCTGCTGTGACCGACAGTAGATAAATTTATTAACATCACAGTGTGTAATTTGTGTGTAGTTTAATTTATTAACATCACAGTGTGTACATCTTGTCCTGTGTTTATGCTAATCTGGCAATGACTGTTGGAGGGATTTTCCATTTTTATGGATTCTAGTGAGTGGAGGTGTAATAAAGATGTGTGTGTTACCTTGGTGAGGGGGTGTTCTGGGAGGTGTTAGTGGGGGAAGTGACCGGGCTAGACCAGCTGGCTGGAGATCGGGGGGTGTGGCGTGTCAGAGGGCTGCCCACTGGTGCCTGAGGATGTGTCCAAATGCAAAATTCACACAAAGGGGTACACTGCTAATGATGAATAACCTTGTGTGTCAAATTAAACATTCCTCTCTAAAGCGCACTCTTAAAAGTCAGTGAGTGTGTTTTACTTGTGCAGCATTGCCAGTGTTCTTCAGATGGTTTTGAAGCAGCTTGGTGGCTCCGTCCTGAAAGGTTTTGGGCAGAGCAGCCAGGAGCATGGTGAACTCTGGAGTGTTGAGCTGGAACAGGGCAATTAGCACTGATTGGGCTGCCTGTGACAGACAAAGGAAGACTAATGTGAACCAAGGAGGGCAGAAGTTGCTTGCTAGTAACATGGAGATAATATTTTAGCATGCCATTTGACTCAACACTAGGTCTGATGTGTGTGTCTCAGTACCTTTCTGACATCAGAGCTCTTGGCTTCAGTTGTCCAGGTGATGATACGGGAGACAGCCAGCCGAGTCTCACTGGAGTTCACAAAGTCTGGAGCCTCCATCTGTAAAGTCAGCGTCTCAATGTACTTCAGAATGGCCACCTTCACCTGCAATACAAACACAAACACACATTAATACAAACCATTAGATAACCTTGGATAACCTTAGATAAAACATGGAAACTGCATGGCCAGTATTTACCTGCAAAAGTAATAAAACTACAAAGCACACAAACTAAAGTGATCAATGTTCGGTCAGCATGTACAACCACAGAAGATTGTGCATCTCTTGCTGGTCTGAAAACCAAATGACTTGATGAATCAGTAGGG